TCTTCTTGAGTTCAAACACAGCCTCAGGAATTGACTAGCTGTGTGACCCTGGGCAAGTCATTTCACCCTGCTAGCCCCAGTTTCCTCATCTGCAAAATGAGCTGGAGAAGGAAATGGCAAACCACACCAGTATCTTTGCCAACAAGACCCCAAATGAGGTCTCAGAGAGTTGGACACAAGTGAAACGAGTGAACAATAACGCCACACCTCGGTAATCAGTTGGTACTTGTTGAATGAATGGATTCTGTCTCATTGTTAGCAGCTTGTCTCCCCCAATATGGTTGAGAACACTTAGCATAGAGTGAATAAACTGACTGTCCACTGTGTAAGCAGGTGAAGCGTTCCTCCGACACTAAAAGCATGAATGAAACATTGAGGTGCTAAAACACGCGTGTGAGGCCCATGAAGTCTCCTCCAGACACTTTTTTAAATGCAGGAGACGTCAATGCTCCTGGGTGATTGCAGGGTAAGGTGTCCTGCAAGGCTGAAGACGCCGACCGGCGGTTCTCTGATCCCGTACCCATCCGCAGCACTAAATGTCAACCGGAAAGTCCTTCTCTGTCCTTAGATCAGATAGCCACCTACATGGTATCACCAGTGGGGCTCTAGAAGCCTCACCCACCCCAAATTATCTTCCTCATGGGGCCTCCAGCTCCAGCGCCAAAAACTCAGCCAGGAGAGCCTTCATATCCTCCAGGCTCCTGCTTTATTCTGAATAGCAGCTGGATGAGCTCATGAAGTCCCAGAACCTGGCAGGCTGGGAGTGAGTCTGTCCTCTAGGGAAGGTAGCATGGAAGGAGGAAAGAGGGAAGGGCACAGAAGACAAGTCAGCTTCAGGAACTGGCCACAGGTTGTCCCTGGGGGCTTCCCACGCTGCATTCCTCCCATCCAGGGACGCTGGCACCAAGGCCGAAGGAGGAGTATTGGGACCACCTCTTCTGCCCTGCCGTGCCTCTGTTCTCCAAAACCCACCAGCAAACTCAATACTTCCTCCTCCTCCGGGAAGGGTTTCTTGACTGGTCCCAACAAGCAGACTGTGCCATTTGTTCCAAATCCCCTTGAGAACTTTGGGATGCCTACTTCTTTGAGGAGTTCTGTTGGTACTTGGGTATGTAGCTTATTTCACCCATCAACTCAGATACTCTCTGGAGGCACAGGTGGGCTGTGCCATCAGATTCAGGGCTGTCCTCCAAAGACACTGCCCAGATCACCCCATCAGAGATTTCGGTGTTGGAAGGGCTCTTAGAAGTCATCCATCTTAGAACTCTTCCATTTTATAGACAAAGGACCAGAGAAGGAAATGATTTACCCAAAGTCGCAGCTATGCCAGTGGCAGAGCAAAGATTTGAATTCAGACCTTTTGACTGCAAAACCAAAGTCCTTTTTAATAACGATAGCTAACATTGATACGCCGCTTTAAGGTTTGCAAAACATTTTCCAAATACCTCCTTTGATCCTCACAATAACCTTGGGAAGTAGGTGCTTTTTATCCCTACTCTGTAAATGAGGGAAACCTAGGCAGAGAGCTTAAGTGACTTGCCCAGGGTCACACGGTGTCTGAGGCTCACATTTGAACTCCAGTCTCCCTGATTCCACTGCCACAATGGATAGAGTGCTGGACCTGGAGTCTGAAAGACTTGCCTCAGACTCTTAATAGCTGTGTGCTCTGAGCAAATCACATCACCTCTGTCTGCATCAGTTTCCTCAACTGTAAAATGGGAACAATGACAGCACCTACCTCCCAGGGTTGTGGTAAGGATCAAATGAGATATTTGTAAAGTGCTTTGCAAACCTTTAAATGTTATATAAATGCTAGCTATTATTATTTCAAATGCTGAGATCTCCTCAAAGTTGGAGACCATCTCCTTCCTTTGCATTTCAAACCCTCTCACTCCACTGCACAATTCTGTTTCTTTTTGGTCTCTGATCTCTAGGGCCTGGGATGGTGCCTTGCACCTAGTAGGTAGTTGATAATTTTTTTTTTTTTGGTAAGGCAATTGGGATTAAGTGACTTGCCGAAGGTCACAGAGCTAGTACGTGTCAAGTGTTTGGTCTGAGGCCGCATTTGAACTCAGGTCCTCCTGATTTCAGGGCTGGTGCTCTATCCACTGCACCACCCAGCTGCCCTGATAATTTTTTTAAATTAAATTACACAATGTGCTTTAGTGAATATCTTTGACAGCTAATTTTTAACTTGAAGTCACTATGTAAAAAGTTTGGAAAATTTAAATCTCCTTGTTGGGATTATGTTGGGATTTAGGGAAGGGGCGCCCCAGCTCTTCGTACAAATTGGGCTGGGAGGGGTCAGGTCCATCAGCTGGTGGACTTCATACTTGATGTCACAAAAATTTGTGACCAGGGATAATCAAAAATCAAAACCAAAAACAAAACAAAACCTTTCCGCTTGGCTCAGAAACTAAAGTCCACAAGCACTTTCAAAGGAATTTTTTCCCCTTTATTGTGCCATATTTGAATTTAGATATAAGAGGGGTTTTGGTATATGTGCTTTAAAACAAAAATTTACATACACAAAATTCATTAAATGTCCAAACATGTGAATGTCTTTCAAGTTGTCAGAATATTCCACAGGAGGGATTAGTACCAAGTATTCAAGAGAGAGAAGAAAAAATAGAGACTACAGTAGACTTAGGTGAAATAGGAATAGTATTCAAACTCTGGGCTCTATTCCTTTCTACCTATATGACCCTAAGTCACTTCCTTTCTCTCTGCCTCAGTTTCCTCATCTATAAAAGGAGAGGGTTGGATTAAGTGATCACAGAGGTCCCTGGCATCCTGTTTTCCTATGACTTCTTCCTAAAGCTTCAAAACTGTAAGCCCTTCGAGGCCAGGGCTGTGCTTTTGAGCCTTGTCATCTCTCTTCCACAGTGGGTATCCAACAGAAGCTCACTGACTCACAACTCACAACTATGGGCTTTATAAGATACTCTGAGGAGTGGGGGAAATGGTCCAACCTCTTTCTCTTGAGGCTTTTTTATAAGTAGACTGGTGGGGAGGATGTGAGTGCAGCTTTCACCTGAAGTCAGAAATACGGCCTGGACTTGGGAACCTACCAAAGGCCCCTAGGTGACCCCTTGACCATGAGGAGTCTGAAAATAGAAAACTATAGGACAGAGAAGAAATGGCTTCTTCAAACACTAAGAAGATGGAGGTCAACCCCTCCAAGTAGCCATTCCTGATTGGTCCCAAGTCCCCATGTTGTCTAATGTACCAATAAAACCCGTCTGACCCATCTCGCCAAACTGGCATAGCCGTCTGTACTTATGTAACAGATTCTATGGCTAATGTGTTTGTCCGGGACATTGCTCCCATTAGAACATAAGTTCCATGAAGACAGTAGTTGTTTACTCATTTGCCCTTCATGGAAGTGAAGAAATGCTTTGGGAGTAATGGGATGGCAGGTGGGCTAGCCTTGAAGTTAGAACTTCCATCCTGGCAAAACCTGATTGAAGCTTGGAAATCAAGGCCACTTCCATTTCCACCTACTGATCCCTAGTGCTAAGAACACAAGGCAACAGTATTCCATAGCGCCTATAAGAGGTGGACAGGGCAAAGTAGGCACATGGAGCAGCCCGTAGGTAGGGGAGAATTTGGGGAGTGGCCTGAAAAATACTTTTGGGATCCCACTCCTCTGCAGACCTAACTCAGTAGGGCCATGGCCAGCTGGAAAAGCATGGTGGTCAACTAATGGGGCCCAAGGCTGCTGCACCTGAAGGGCTCCCTGTAGAGCCAAAGTATCGTGAGAAATCTGATTCAAAAGGATGAATATGAGGTGCAGAAAGACACCCTCATCAGGAATTTTCAAAGAAAGATGAAATTATTTTTAGTGTAGTTAGCATACTTACTAATTTTGGGTTGTGATTGCACTGGTCTGGGGAATTCTCTTTGTGGAAATTGTCTCCATCATGGCAATTTCCCTGTATCACATAGAGAACCACAAGGCCCTTCAGTTAAGAGACTGGTTAGTGAAGAGTGGCAACACACCCAGTATCCTGGCTGTCTTCAGCACTCTTTTGGATGGGAGATGGTCGTCTATGTTTCAGCCAAGCAGCAAGGCCAGAAACATTCTAAACCTTGCCTGAGAGGCTCAGTGACTTGCCTACCATCATGGCCAGCCTTGAATCGAGGCCTTCCCATCTCCAAGAACTGCATTCCATCCACCAGGCCCTACCACCTCTTCAGTATACATTCTTGTATTCTAATTCTTTACAGACTGGTAGTCCGCATAAGGAAGCTATAGAGAGAAACATATAGATCTAGCTATAGAGATACAACTGCCCACGAGAATGCCCAATGACACCGGGGGCCAGTTTATTATGGATGGAGGGGCTTTAAAGGGCAGTGAAGATCGCAGAAGCTCATGCATCCTGGTTCCTCTGCTGCAGTTAACAACCCATGGAAGAGAAACTTAGGCCAGGACTCGAGATGCCTGCCTTCTTCTGCCCCTCTCTGTGGTCCCATGGCCTTGCTGTAGCTCCCTGGGATCTTTGTGAGCAGTACCAGACCTCCTCCTCTCTGAATAGGACCCTGTCCCCAACCTGCAGTGATCTCCTCTGATCCATGCCACCCACAAATCTATCACAACCCAATTTGGTTACTAGCATTTCATGAGTTAGTCCTGTCTCTCCAATTAGGCCATGAGCTGCCGATGAGCAGGGACTGTGTCTTCTTTTGTATGTCTAGGAGTGCCAAGCACAGAACACCACAATACTTATTGATTGGCCTACTTCATGATATCCTGCCAGAAAGGCTGTCATCTGGGAGGGAGTGTACAGAACACCCTGGTCCCTGACAGCAACCTTCTTCCGGCTCCTTTCCAGAAGGGAGCCCTACAGGAGAATCCTCTCTACAGGAGAATTAGCCTTTGGGACAAAGGACATGGGGCTTCTCTCCCTTCCCCTTGCAATCTCAGAAGAGAACATTCGCTGCATACCGTCCCTCCTCCCCCCACCCCATGATGCTACATCAAAGAAGCTAAAAGGGTCAGATCATTTGTAGGTATATTTATATGTAAATACAAAATTGTATCGCCATAAGGTATTGAATATGAACATTTACAATTATTCTCCAAATCTGACTCAATCCTTGAACGTTAAATACAAAATGAAAAGATTGTAAAAATAAGAATATACACATTCAAAGAGCTTGTTACAGTATCAAATGACCGAGGGCCGCTCAGCCGCCAACCTCATCTTCTGTGAGAGAGGAGTTTTTGCATTACTGACGGTCTCCCCTCAGCACAGGGTGGAGCTGTTGGTGATGTTGGGCTGGGGCAGGACAGTGGGGTGACGAACAGCAATTCCAGAGTTGGGGGGTCTCTCTGTGGGGAGCCCCCAGCCAGGAGCCGCTTTCAGCTCTTTCTTGGCCCAGAACCAGGATGTAGCATCCCGATGACAAGGCAGGGGGATGCAGCGGAAGGCAGGGGTAAGAGGCAGCAGAGAGGGGAATGCTTCAGAAAGGCAAATGAGAAAGAAAAGCTCTTCTCGTCAAGTGATTCCCTCAGGTCAAGCTCCCCAACCCGTATTGTGCCCAGGGTCCCGTGAGCCCTCTGAAGACTTCGTACCGATTGCCTTTGGCCTTGGCTCCTCAGTGAGTTAATCCCCATCATCCCCTGGGGAGGACTAGGGAGAAATAGGGGTTCGAATGTCACAGTGGAGATCTGCAGCTCCTTATTCAAGGTAAAGGGTTTCCCCAGTGGATAAGGTAAACAGAGAAAAAAAATGTTAAGTTGGGAGAATAACGCACCAGGGTCACCACATACAGCATTCCCAGGGCCAAAGACAGGCCATGACCAAGAGGGGGACTGGTCCACACTCAGGAGAGGGTGTAGATGGCGGGGAGTAGGGTGAAGGACATTGTCACAACATCCTCCCTGTCTAACAACATAATGCATAATTGACTCCCCTCCCACATTCCCTCGGGTGGGAGCGCCCCATGGGCAACGAACAGTGCCGTTTCTGAAGCGACCTCCGAGGAACATGGCAGCCTGACCTCCAGCATGGAGCCCCATGAACTGCTGGAAAGAGGTGTGTACATATGGATTTATATAATACGTACATATTAACACATACAGTATATATTACATACACACACATACAGACAGATCCAGACCCACGCACACGTAACATACATACACAGGCACACAGAATGGTAGATAAGACTGGAGGACATGCCTTACTTCTTACACCTTCTTGGCACTGGGGATGACCTCTAAGATATGGGGTTGATCAAATTCTCCTGGGATGAACTAGAGGAGGTCTCTCACCTCCTTCCCCATCAAACTATGGCAAAGTCGAGGTGAGGGAGGTTTGAGAGGGGAAGAGAAGATGCTTTCCCACTTACCTCTGGGGACCCCTGTCAGAAATGGTAGCCACAATTTGGTTTTAATAAGGCACAGTTCAATAGCAGGTGCTAGAAATTAAGAACACGAGCTGCTAGCCACTGGCTACTTGTGGAGATTTCATCAGAGCTAGCTAGCCAAAGGAAAAGGCTGCCATGTACCAGGAGACGTAGAAAGAGGTGGATGTTTCAACATTACTGATGGCCGCCTAGGGGCTTGGCAGTGTCCCAGGGAGAGGGAGGAAGGCTGGCGGAAGGTTACTGATGGGCAGCCAGTTCCTGCACCAGGTGAGAGGCCCCAGGTGCCAGCTACTGCCTCTCGATGCTCAGCAGATGGCAGCCAGGGGGCACCAAGCCCTCCTTCAAGGCATATTCAATGATGGCCTTGTAACAGAAGAAGTACTGCTCCGGGGTCTGGATGCTGAATGCCCTCTGGGTCCTCATGCGGGACACTGTCTGAAACACGTTCAGCGTGCCCAGCTCTTCCAGCTGTGCCAGGCAGATGTCCAGCGAACAAAAGGTGCCTGTAGAAGGAAGTAGATGGTCGAGCTTGCTTTACTGCCAGTAAAGCCCCTGCCCCAAAGGAACTGAAGTTCTGTCAAAAGTAGTCTGAAACAGAAAAGAATGTAGAACAGCGACAGCAGACACCTGCCATGGGAGTCGGGACACCTGGAAACAAGCTGGCACAAGGGCGCGTCTAAGAGGAGATGGCAGAGGCGACACACTGCACATCCATCAGGCTTAATGGATGCGTTGGGGAGTGATGTGTCTGCTTTTTTATTCTTTGTCACAACGGATGCTCACTGGGGGTGGGGGGAGAAGGAAAGCTCTACGTGGAAATGAAGACAATTTAAAACAAGATATCAAGATAAGAAGGGATGCTTGTCCCAGAACACAATGGAGGTATGGGAACAGTGAGGGAAAAAGTGGAGCAAGGACCCTCCAACTGGAATAAGAGACAGGACCCAATTCCTTTCAAGAGTCACCTCAATGGCTGGGTAGGGTGAGGCATGAGACAGGTACATTGGCCCTTCATTCCACCAAGTATTACTCAGAACAGAAGGTGGGGGGACTACGGAATGGCCGGTCTAGAACAGATAATGTTGCTGATGTCATAATTCTCCTAGAAAAAAACCTGTTTGCTCAATTATGGATAGAAAAGGGCTACTGCCCATCGCGGGAAGGAGGGGTGGGATGAGGGGAGAAGAGAAAGAACTAAGAGAAGGGAAAAGGAAAAAGAAAGGGGGAAGGAGAGAAGGAAGGAAAGAGAAAAGGAAGAAAGGGGAAAGGGAGAGGAAAACCCTACTTGGCTTAGCATGCCCTCAGCCTTCCCTGGTCACAGGCAACTCTGTTAGAATATTCTTCAATGTCTGTTTTGTAAATTTATCACAGTCAGTGGCTAACACTGGAGTTGCCAAATTCACATTAAACGAGGCATCCTAGGGAAATCTGCCCGCCACAAATCTAAGGAACACTTTTCCCGAAAACTGACGACTGTGGCCCCCAGCATTCTGTGCCTTTAGTCCCCTGGAACACGGGGATCCCAGCCGGAAGTCATTACCTGTCCTGCCAATGCCTGCGCTGCAGTGGACCACGATGGGCGGCCCTCTGGGATGACCTTTGAAGCGTGGTCCCAAGTTCCTGACCGCCATCTTCTGCTGGTTTCTGACCACTCTGAGGAAGTCAATCAGGCTGTCAGCTGAAGAAGGGACGCCATAATCTGGCCAGCTCAGGAACTGGAAGTGGATCACTTGTCTCTTTTGTCGTTCCTGAGGGCCAAAAGTCACCACCAGTCAATGCTAGGCATCCCTTCCTTCTCTCCCCTCTGTAACCTTCACTCCTCCTAATACTTTTGCCTCTCTGCCTCATGGCCCCTCATCCTTCTTCTGTTCAGCCCTCTCAGTCCCCTTCCCTCTGGGCATCCATCTTCCCCATCTTTTTCTTCCTAGTTACACGGAGCCCCTTCCCCAGTGCCTTTCTTCCTGGTTCTTCTCCCTTCTCCTGAACTCCCCCTATCAGAACCTCCCCAGGATGCAAGCTCCAGTTCCAATCACTGGAAAAAAAGCAAAACAAAAAACTACTTCTTCAGCAAGTCTTGGTGCTCCACTTCCCAAGGGGGCATCCCAGATCATAGGCCTAGGACAACCCATGTTGTAGGGTTCATGTGCAATGCCACCACAGCATTAGGGTAGCAAGGCTGGGATGGCAAGGAGGAGATGTGACTCGCTATGGAGTACACGGGAAGTCCCCCAATCAGAGACCCAGACACCAGCATGGAGTGCCTCCCAATTTTTCTTTTCCCTTACACCAAAATCAATGCTAGCTGGAGATTTGACAACACAAGCTTTTCCCTCCAAAAGGGAGGCATCACAGAGAAGGAACGTGAGAGGATTACTTCTGTGTTATGAATTTCCAGCGTTGTTTTCTTATAATGGTTCATGTTTTCCACTCCTTGGTTGGTCACCGTGAGAAAGCCAAATCGGATCTGACTGTCTTTTTCCAAGGGCCAGTACTGGCCACACTTTCTCCTGCCACCTTCCTCGAATCTGGAGGGAGACACACAAAGGCCCAGAGTCAAAAGGAGCTCTCTAGCTAGCCATCCACCCTCACCAGAGCACATCTCCTGAGTCCTGCAGCGGCTGAGCCCTGGGCCTCCCTTCAACCTGCTTTAAAATGCCTCTGCCCTTGCTTCCCAACACAAAAGCAGCCCAGATACCTTCTAGAGGAGTGACAAGAGCCCAGGGGATGTTCGCATTGCCACTGCCTCTAAGGAAAGGCCTCCTGGTACCGTGGCTGTCTCTAAGTCACACACAGCCACACGCACGTCATGCCCATCGTACGGAAGACAAACTAGAGGAAAATGGACTTCAGGAGATCCTGGTGTGCTTGGAGCAGAGGGAAGGGAAACTGTGAGCTATGGCTGTCCCAAAACTGGTGACACCTCAGCCTGAGCTAAGAGGAAGGAGGGAGAGATAAGGTAAAATAAATCAGCATTTATCAAACATCCACTAGGCAGGAGGCACTGTCCTCAGCTCTGAGCATGGGAATCCCTGCCCTCAGGGAGACTGACTCTACTGGGTGTGCAGGCATGAACACAGAGAGGAAGAAAGGGACTCCAAGAGGCAAA